AAAAGCTTTTCACACTTTCTTGATGCGGCTTTTGACTTTTTTTTAAAAGGAGAAAAAGAGCAAGAAGAGGAGATAGAAACACATCTGTTGGATAAGTTGTGATTTAGTGAATGTTTGCTTCAAAAGCCTGGTCTGGTGTTTCTGCTGCGGCTGGCGTCTTTAATGCATCACATTTCTCTCTCCATGTCTCCAGTTAGCCTGATTAATACAAGCTGCTGTGATAAAGTCAGTAAAACTCCCCTGATTGCAACACGTTCATTAAAACTTCAGTCCATTACTGATCTGTGGTTCCTGCTAGCTCGCTTCCTGTTTATTACAGCCAAGCGTAACGTCATTGTACAACCGCATCACTCCAAAAAGTTAAAGTTAAAAAAACAATCCACTGGACTTGTTTCCAAGTTTGAAGACGTTTCTTTTCCAATTCAGGAAACGTTTCCAATTCAAAATGTCTGGTTTGCAATGAGTTCGAGACTTTTAAAGAGTAGCCCAACAAAAGCTTGGAATAGCTTAGAAAATATGCACATAGAAGCTGGAAAACCAGCTCCAGCCCTTAATGGGTGTCGTTGAGGTCTTTATTGGCCAGCAATACCCGATACTGGCCTTCTAACCACTAGAACAACGATGGGGGTCACTTGAATTAATCGACAATCCGCTGCTTTCTGGTTTTAGCAGAGCATGGCCGACAGACGAGAAATAAAAACTACAAACATGTCAGGAACCTCTGTGAAGTATAAGGTAACATCCAGTCCCTGATTGGATGTGGTGACAGAGCAAGACACAAAAGTTCAGGTTTTCCAACTCCAGTGATTGTCCCTTCGCTGTTGGTGTGAATCATTGGTGGCTGGCCAATAGAGGGCGCCGTCCCACTCACCCAATAATGTTGATTAAGACTTATGTCAGGGTTCTGCCCTCTGATTAAGTTTATTTTTAGTTTTTTTGTATTTGTAGCTGTTTTCTGTCAGTGTTTAGTTCTTGAGTTACTCTCTGCTGCCCCCTTGTGCATACAGCGAGGCTAATGCTTTATCCTGCTTCCCCTGCTTCCTCCTTCAAACCTCAAATGCAGAGAGCAGAGACCTTTAAGCGGTGATTTAAGAGGCCTGGAGCTTCCAACAAGAACTGCAGATTTATCATTTCAAGACATGTTCAAACTTATTTTCCAAAATATAAAGTAGATAAAGCCAAGCTGCTCTCTAGCTTGAAACGGGGGGATTTACCATTAAGCAATACTAGGAAGTTGCCTAGGGCCCCAAGTACCTGGGTGCCCCATAAAACTCTGTTTACATGTATGGTTAATACGACTATTCCTTACTTGTGCACATTCATTTCATACCCTCTTTCAGACTCCTCTAGCACTTTGATTTCTAAAAAGCTCCTAGCGCCAAATCTAGAGACTTTTTTCTGCTACTGGAGACTTTGGAGACAACATCTAAAAGCAGCGAACTCTGCT